AAATGAAATAAAAAACCGTAACTGCGTATGACTCCTTTGAACTTTTGCTGATTGCAAGATTTTTTTCCCCAAAAGTACTTAATGTACTTCTGCAAGAGGTCATCTTTTGTTTTCTGGTAATGCTCATATTTTATGGATGAGACTGCTGAAGGCCCAGAGAGTTCGCAAGAATACTCTAAAAAAAGAAGATCGAACCGTGACAGTAGATCCTGCATAATAACCAAACTCTCGTAATGTGAGATCGTCTTCAAGTGTGAAAATGAGAAATGTTTCCTCGTAGAAAAAAAAAAAATAAAAGAAAACGACTGTTATAACTACCGGTAATGTTGTGTCGGTGATCATCGCATCCACTGGCACATAATTAGTCAAATTAATGAGTTTTGATATTTGAATACTTCCCTCACCTGTTGCAATAACATATCTGTGTTTTCCTTCCCTGTGTAGAGAAGAATACTTTCCGGTTGGTAGCTTTGTATCTGTTCCATTATTTGCCATATTTTTCTTTCTCTGTCTTCAGCGTATTTTGTCTCAGGCACCTGAATTAAATCCATGGTGAGTGTTGACTTCTTATAGTTGAGGTAGAAATATCCAGCATCAAAGAAGCGACTCTCTGTGTCAACAGACAAAACGAAACGCATCAAAGCTAAGTTTTATAACATAAGCTTAACAGCTCCCTGAAAAAATTCTTGGAAAGTAGGAATAAACAGCCTGAAGATTCCTGGCAAGAAAACTTCAGGATAGGAGGGTTGCATAACAATAAGACGTAATGGGTAAGATAACATGAGCGATGCACTTCATGGGATGAATTGTGAGGTTTCGGGTCCAACACTACAGGTATATAGATTTTTTACTTTGGTTGATAAGTTCTCTGTCATAACCTTATGCTAGTTTATTTCAAATTACCATCAAAGATCAATAGAATTTTCCGCCATTTCAGTATGCTCAATGCATCAAATGTTGCATGCGCGAAATATCTGTATCCCGCTGACATATCCACTACA